TTCTCTAACCTTTGTGTATCTGATTATTACTAGCCATGGTCGGTTGCCCTTGGATCCTCGGCACCAGTGTATGGATATAAAGTCATCAGGTAGGTTTCAATGGTAATGTTTATCACCTCTACTAATTGACATGATGTAAATTTTTATGCTTCCTCCTCAAATAACTAAATTTTTTAATTTGTTAATTTTTTTGTGTGTATATCACACAGAACATCCCAAACAATCTTATTCATCTATATACCCACTTCCCAGATGGCACCCTCCCATAGCCTCCCCCTGCCCACTAAAGCCCTTATACTCTGTCATCCCTGCTACTGTCCGCTGTGTTGTTGGCACCCCCAGCCATTCCCCAGTACTTGTCCATCCAGTGAATCTAGTCAGCCTATCTAGAGGTCTTTGTTTTAGGAAGGTCAGCTGTTCCTCATCTAGCAGCAATCAGTTGTATCCAGACATGACCCTGGATTTTTGAGTCACTGTCTTGTTTTGTTTTGAAGTTGTTTCAATTGATAAGGGTACTGTTTAATAAACATTTGTTATATCAAATGATTCACACTTGCTACATCAAATAAATCATTTGATTATAAATTGCATATCTTTTCTCATGGATTTTGTTTGGTTTTTTTTTTTTTTTTTGACATTTTGAAAGAGGGTTTTATGAAACCTTGGCTGGCCACCCACTTGCTGTAAAAAGGATGACTTTGAATTTCTGTTCCTTTGTTTAACTTCCAGAGTGCTGAGATTATAGACATGTACTACCACACTCACTTTGTGGGTATCAAACGGAAGGTTCATCAATGCTGTGCAAGCATTCTACCAACTGAGCTACATCCTTGTCCTTTTTATGAAATTTTTGTGGTGCAAGGGATGGAACCACTCAGAGCTTTGAGCATGCTAGGTAAACATTCTACCTCTAAACCCTGTACTCAGCCCCCAGCTCCTTCAGTTTTTGCCTCATAGTTTTGAATTTTATGACTAGATGCAAGATTAGAATTGCTGTGCCTTTCTGGTGGACAGGATCATGAATCTTGGAAAGTGATCTTTTTATCTGTAGTAATGTTTCTGTCTGCTAGTCTATTTTATCTAATATTAATATAGATGCACTAGTTTTCTTTAGTCATTTTTCTAATACATCTTTTCCCAGTTGTTTTGTGTTCTTTCTGTCTTTTCTGCACACTTATGCTTTATCAAAATCCATATTTTTTTTCTTTTTTTCAAGACAGGATCTCCCAGGTGTCCAGAACTCGCTATGCAGACCAGGGTGGCCTGGATCTCACAGAAATCCACCATTTGCATTGCTTTCTCTTTTTCTTTTTCCTGATTCTCAAGCGCTTCACTTGTGATCCTGTTCCTTCTACGTACACATTTTAGAGGCTCATTTATTAAGGATCTCCAGTGATTTTAAAACACCTTTACGTTGCAAGTCGTCCCCCCACCCCGCGCCGCCCCGCCCCCGCAGCATTTGAAGATTTTCTGTTGCTGGTTTGCACTGTTGCCTTCGGGTAGATGCCCACAGATCCCTGTATCTCTTTGAAGGCAATTCTTTTTCTCAAGCTGCTTCAAGATCTTCTTTGCGTCTTTTGAAGTTCTCTCATTTCACCATAATACTTCAAGGTCTGGTGGATTTTTATCTGTTGTCTAGACATTGCTTAAGGGTCGTGGATATTTCGATGGTTTCCTTCTCCTTCCAAGAAAGCTCTGTGGCTTATGTCATTGTGCTTCTGTCCACATTTCTTTCTTGTTGCTCCTCGTCTTCCCGTCTAGGACTGAGGAGGAATGTCTTAGACCTCCCTACAATCATCTCCTGTTTTTAAATCTCTCTTCAGTGTTTTAGATGTTGTCCTTTTCTGATGCAGCTGGGGTAAGAGGCTCTGATTTATTGTCCAACTCAAATATTCTGTCTTATGCTGGAAGTAATGTCATCAAATTTTTCCATGGATTGAATTTAAAAGTTTTAATTATTACGATTCATTTCTAGAAGTTACTTAACTTACATAGTTTATGTAAGTTAAATATGACCCCTTTGCTCATGTTTTCTATATATTTTTTTAAATTGGCATGCAAAGTAATGGGTTTCATTATGGTATTTTCATGCATAGATGTACTTTGTTCTTATTTACATCTGTTCCCTGCTAAGTTCCTGTCCCCTGTGTCCCTCCGCTCCTGCAAGTCTCCCACCTCCCCACATATAACCCCATTTCTGCTTTCATGTCACATGCATTTGGTAATTTTCTCTACTCTTATCCTGCCTCCCTCCTTAAGGTCTCTTCCTCAACTCTCACAGACTCCTTTCTCTTTACATGACCACACACATTCTCTGTGCATGTACGTGCATGCACACAGACACACAGGCATACACAAGTGCATATATGCATATAGATATATATCTCTAGAGTCTAATTACTATAGAAAACGTGGTACTTGTCTTTCTGAGTCCGGCTTATTTTATTTAGCATAATGATCCCCATTGCATCCTTTTTCTTGTAAATACTCTAATTTCCTTTTTCTTTACAAGCTGAGTAAAATTCCATTGTGTGCCATCTTTTATTTATTCATCTGTTGGACATCTAGAGTAATTCCACTCAGATGTTGTGAGTAATGCAGCAACACACATGAATGTGGAAGCATCTCTGCAGTACATTGATTTAGAGTCCTTTGGGTATATATGCAGGAGTGGCATCACTGGGTCACATGCGAGTGTATTTTCAGGTTTTTAAAAATGTTTTATTTTTATGTTCGTGTGTATGCGTGTATTGCCTTCATGTTTGTGTAAGTGCACCCATGACATGAAATACATGCAGAAGTTAGAAGAGGGTGTCAGAATCCCCTGGACCTGTAGTTATGGATGGTTGTTAGCTGCCATGTGGGTGCTGAGAATCAAACCCAGGTCCTCTACAAGAGCAAGCGACATATGTTCTCCCTCATGTGTGGATTGTAGCACCAATCCCTTATATTTGAGTATATAGATTCTGATGTTACACCAGGAGCCAGGGAAAGGCGAAAGAGCAGCTACTGCTCTCAACCACTGAGCCATCTCTCCAGCCCCATATTTTTGGTTTTTTAAAAATAATCTTCCTAATTATTTCTGTAGTGACTGCCAGCAGGTCTCCACCAGCAGTGTTTAAAGGTTCCACTTCTCCCATACCCTCACCACCATGTGTTCCCGGCTATCTTCTTGACAATAACCATTCTAACTGGGTTGAAATGGGATATTAAAAGTTTTAATTTGCAGTTCCCTGATGGATAATGATACTGAACAGTTTTACAAATAGTCATTGTCCATTTGTGTTTACTCTTCTTAGAACTATCTATTCTGTTAATTAATCCATCTATTGAGTGGATGGTTGCAGATTTTTTTTTTGCTTACTTTTTGTAGTTTTTTAAAAAAATTATTTATTTTCATTTTATGTATATGAGGGTTTTGCATGTATATCTGTGTGTACACCACATGCATGCCTGCTGCCCACAGAGGCCAGGAGAGGACACTGGATGCTCTGGAACTGGAGTTGTGAACTGCCATATCGGTGCTGGGTACTGAACTGGAGTCTTTTGCAGAGTAGCAGGTGGTCTTAGCCGCTGAGTCATGTCTCCAGCCCACAATTTTTAAAGTTCTTTATGTATTATGATAATCATACCCTGTAATATATATATTGGCAAAGATTTTTTTTCCCATTCTGTAGGCTGACTTTTCACTCTGCTGATAGTATACTTTGCTATGCAGAAGCTTTCTAATTTCATGTAATTTCATTTTGTCAGTTATTGACATTATCTCTTGTGGTGGTGCTACAGTATTTCAAAGAAAGTCCTTGACTATGCCTGTACCTTGAAGAGTTTTACCTGTGTTCCCTCCAGTTGTTTCAAAGTTTCAGGTCTGACATTAAGGTCTGTTTTGAATTGATTTTTGTGAAGGGTGGGAGATATGAATCTAGTTTCATTCTTCTACCCCAGTTTTCTCAGCACGACTCAGAGGAGCTGTCTTTTTTCCCCAGTGTAAGTTTTTAAAGTTACATTTTTACTTACTTACTTTGAGTGTGCATGTACATGCATATGCGTGTGCACATGTGTGTCAAAGTCAGAGGACAACTTAGGGAAGTCAGTTCTTTCCTTCCACCACTTCAGTGCCAGAGATCAAACTCAGGTTGTCAAGCTCTATGGCAGATACCTTTATCTACTGAGCCATCTGCCTGGCTTCAATGACCCCTCGTTGTAAATACATGGCTGTCACCATGTGGGCTTATTTCTGGATCTTCTATTTCATTGCATTGGTCTACATGTCTGCTTTTGTGCCAATGCCATGCAGTTTTTTGTTACTATGGTTCTTTCTGCTTGGAATTGCTTTGGCTATTTGAGGTTTTCCTGGTTCCATATTAATTTTAGGATTCTTTTTCCTAGTTCTCTGAAAAAGGTGATTAGAATTTTGGTAGAAATTTCATTGAGTCCACAGATGTCTTCAGTAATACATAATCATTTTTAACATCATTGATTCTGCTAATCCACAAACACAGGAAGTCTTTCCATCTTCTAGTATCATCTTCACCTTCTCTTCAGTGTTTTAACTTTTTAAAAAGAGACTTTATTTAACTTATGTGTTTGTGTGTGCCTGCTTGTCTATATGTGCACCACAAGGGAACAGTGTTCATGGAGGCCATAAGTGAGTGTCAGATCCCTTGGAACTTGAATTATGGACAGTGGTTAGTCACCATGTGGGTGTTGGGAACTGAATCTGGGTCCTCTGCAAGAGCAGCCAGTGCTCTTAACTGCTGAGCCATCTCTCCTATGCTGACCTATCTATCTTACCTGACCTAATTTTTTTTTTGAGACAAAGTCACACTATGTAGCTATGGATGACCTAGAATTTTCTATGCAGACCAGGCTGGCCTTGAACTCACAGAGATCCTCCTGCCTCTGCCCCCTACATGCCTGGATTAAAGGCGTGCACCACTATGCCCAGTTTTCTTCAATGTTTTAAAGCTTTCATTGTAGAAGTCTTTCAGTCCCTTAGGGATGTTTATTATTAGACATTTTAGTAAGGTGTTTTTTTGAAGATATTGTGAATGATGTTTTTTTCTATTTTTTTTTTCTTGGCAAGTTC